CTCTCTCTCAAATAAATTTAAAAAAATAAAAAAAAAATAGGGGCTCCTGGGTGGCTCAGGCAGTTGAGTGTCTGCCTTTGGCTCAGGTCGTGATCCTGGGGTCCTGGGATCGAGTCCCACATTGGGCTCCCTGCTCAGCGGGAGGCCTGCTTCTCCCTCTCCCACTCCCCCTGCTTGTGTTCCCTCTCTCACTCTCTCTCTCGGTCAAATAAATAAAATCTTTAAAAAAAATTTTTTTTAAAATAAAAGTCCAATAGTATATCAAAGCACAATTCTAAAACACTGAATTGACTTAACAGGTGATAATTTATAATTAATTTTTTTGAAGACTTTATTAAAGTGTCAAGATATATAAACATCCTTACTTTTTAAAAGTTTAGCTTCACCAACTTTGTAGAATCAAATAAAAGTTTACTAATTCAAAATTAAACTAAAGTATATATATTTGAGGGGCGCCTTGGTGGCTCAATCGTTAAGCAACTGCCTTTGGCTCTGGTCATGGTCTCCGCAGGAAGCCTGCTTCTCCCCCTCTCCCACTCCCCGAGCTTGTGTTCCCTCTCTTGCTGTGTCTCTCTCTGTCAAATAAATAAATAAAATCTTTTTAAAAATAAGGTATATATTTGTTTGAAGACATCCTAAGTTAATCCAATCTTCCTTCTTGCAACACTGTATTTTCCCAACTACTCACCGTAGGCATATATGACATACATATATCAGCGAACACTAACTGCTTACATTCTAAATATATACCAGTCTGAAGAACAGGTGCGACACTATTTGGATGCATGCTCTTGTCTTCTAAGCCTAAATTTGCCCTGGAAAGGGATTTAAAAATAAACACAAATACCCAAGAGTTGAACAATCCTCTTAAAAAGATGTAGCCATTCTGAAATCCAAGATATGAGCTCTTCAACTACCAACACCTTCCAAAAGTTAGGTAAATTAGCTTATCAAAGTTTCACCTTAAAAAGATCAAATAAGGCCCAATTATGAAGGGTTCTGAAGATATTTAACTTAGCTTCCCCTGAGTCAGTAACGTGAGACAAGTACGTTTTACTTCAAGCTAATATTAAAACTTTCCTCAGTCGTTTCATAAACACAGTACAGATACTCTGGTTTAGCTTTTTACGGATAAAGAAAGGGCTGGAAGCCCGGTGGAGGGTACTCTAAAAAGAAAAATTCAATTTAGAGAAGCACTGATGAGTCAGTCGCTTAGGAAAAACTGAAAGAGAACCTAAGTGACTAAGGCAGCATCCCAGGTAAGAAGGTACTTAAAGTTGGCGGTAGGAAATGAAAACTTCACAAGTGAGCACAAGACATTATGCTTGGTAGCAGCCCTGGAAAGAAGCGTGGCTGTCAAGGGGCAAGTGCGTACCAACTCCGAGAGAAGTGGCCAAAAATGCCAAATCGGATGGCGGGGGGGGGGGGGTGATGAGGGAAAAGGTAATAAAATGCCCATCCCAGACCCTCTCCCCGGGCTCTCCATCTCAACAGGCACAATCAAAAGCAGGCTTAATACCCAATAACCCCACGCCGGACGCTCCCACAGAGAGTTTAGCCCCAAGCCCCGGAGGCCCGGCAGGCCGCCTCCAGAGGAGCCCCCGCAGACGCCATACTAAAAGTCAAAATGGCTGCCCCAAGGAAGCCCGCACCGCGCAGCTAGTAAGGGTTGGGGAACAGGCTTCTGCGGGAAAGGGGGAGGGGGGGCTCTCGGAAGAGCCGTCGCCAGAACCGCAGGCAGGACTATCGCCCCCCCGAGCTGCACAGGTAGGTTCCCCTCGGCCCTCAAGGCCCGGAGCTCCGACAGAGGGGAGTCCCGGCCCCACCCCCCCGGCCGGGAACCCCGCCGCCGCAGCCGTCCCGCACACCGACCCCAGCGAGGTACCTGCAGTTCGGCCCGCTCCACCTCCCAGTGCGCCCGCTCCATCTCGAACCGAGCCCACTCGTGCTGGATGTAGTGCAGGATCCCCGGGATAGTGTACTGCTGCGGCCGCGACAGCTCCGGGCCTGCCGCGGGACCCGCTCCCTCGGCGGCTGGAGGACCCCCGCCGCCCGCCGCTCCATTCCCCCCTGGCGAAAGGCTCATGTTCCCCCCAGGTCCCTGCTGCTGCCTTGGAGGGGCCGCCATCCCCGGGCCTCCACCACCGCCTCCGGCGAGCTCGTCCATTGTGTGTGGGGCCCCGGCCGGGGCGCAGGGCGAGAAGCCGACGGCTGGGGGAAGGGCCGGGGAGGGTGGCCCCGCGCTGGCGGCGGGGCGAAGGCCGGCTGGGAGAGGGGCGAGGAGGGGGTCGTTGCTGTACGCTTGCTGTGGGTCAGAGCAGGGAGCTGCCGGCCGCCGCCATTACAGTCCCTCCTCCATCTGCCCGTCTCACTCACTCACTTTAGGGAAGGGGGGGCCGCGTTGGGAGGGGGGGAAAGGGGGCAGGGTTGGGAAGGGGATAGACGTAGGGCCGTCACTCCCGCGCAGCATGCCGGGTAGAGAACGCCGCTGCCGCCGCACGCCTAACAGCCAAATAGAGTGCGGCCTCACCATACGCAGGCGTACTGAGGACTCAGCAAGGGTACTTGAGGCGGGGTAGGAGCTCTGGCCCCGCCCCTAGATCCTCCTTCCGACTTGCTCCGGGTGCCTCGCTGCGGGTACTGGACCGTGGCCCACCGACTCTAACTTTTGGGAGCTGGTCGGTCTTGTGCTCCCAACAATCAGTTTTCCTTGCTCAGTCACCAACCCCTCGAACGCCGTTCCCCACTCAAGGGTCTCAGCAGCATGCCTCCCTTCTGAGCTGTTTTAACCAGGCTGGGCGCTCCGGCCGGCCGTAGCCGGTCCCGGATTCCTGACGTTTCTTTCGCATTCCTTGCGTGTTTCAGGATGTCCCAGAGGGTCGGGCCTCTTTCTCTGCTTGTCACTCGCTCTTTGGCTGGTTTCTTAGCACGAGTCAACTCCTGAGGCTTTGGGGATGTTCTCTTTTGGCATATTGCCCGGCTCCTTCTGGACATTGGTGACTGATTCCCGGTCTCCGTTTCAAGCCCGGACTTTGGTCCTAATTCTGTGCTCCCGGTCGCCAGTCGCAACTTGTTCCACTTTGCCTCCCCTCTTCGTTACTCTTCTGGGGTGGGTTGTTTGGCGCGGGGGGGCGGGGGGCAGTTGGAGCAGGAGTTAATGTTTTCATTTTTTTCTTGGGAAAAGGGAAAGTGAAAAACTTTAGATCTTGACGATGGTGCGAAGAGAGAAAGATGACTTTGAAGACTTGTTAGACTAACAATTCGGTGTTTTAGAATGAATGGATTCACAAGTAGGATTCATAGCAGAATCTTTTGATGGAAACAAAATAAAAGCATCGTGAATACAACGTAAAATCCTAGATGAACAGCTGCAAAGATGTTCTCCTGGGTCATTAAATGGTGTTTGAATGAATATAATATACACCTAAAAGACACGTTTAATCTTTTAAGTACCATAGTGTGTGTTTTTATGTGCTTAGGTTGCCAGGAAACATCCTTAATGAACTAGTACGTTTCTAAAGAAAGTTAATATAGCTAATAACCACTTGTTTGAAAAATAGGACAAAAATGTTTAACAATATAATAAGGAAAAAAAGGTTCAATAATTACAGCTATGCAGGAAAATTGCACATAAAATTGATTGCATTAATTTTTTTTCTTCTCTACTACCAGTAAAGTTTTCACTATGTAATATACAAGACCACTCAAGGTATAATTTCAAAAAGATAAAAATAGTACATCTTATTTTAACATGTCTGCTTTACTCTTATTATGTTTAATGGAGAGCGGATTGGACTTGTTACCCATGCTGCCATATTTTATTTGTATATGAAATGAGGTCTTAGGTCACATATTATTAGGAACTGTTTCTCCATATTATTAAGTACTATTTTTCCATTTTATAGTGACCAACATACAATCTGCTTATTTAGTCTTCTTCCTTTTTAAGGGGCCTCATAGCACATAAAATTCCAAAATATGTCTCCAAGAAACATGTTTGAGCAGGTGTAATTGATCTCTGTTATGTTGGCATCAAAAGAAGAACATGTGTACTTAATATTTCCCACTGGTACCTCAAGCTCAAGTAAAACTAGATTGATAATCCTTCTATTTTCCTCCCTATCCACCTTCAAAAAAACACTGTTTCTCTTCTATTACCTATCTTATTAAGTGGCACTACATCCAAACCTGAGAGCTGGCAGTCATTGTAGTACCTGCCTTTCACTCACCCCCACATCCAATCCCTTTCTCAGTACATATTTCATTTCTATTCCTTATCTATATCATATCTATTCCATTATCTTTATTGTTGTGTTAGTTTAAACCTTCTCACCTTACTTGTTCCCCCACCTTCCGCTACCACTGATGCCAGAGTGATCTTCAAAAGGCAGATTTGATTCTATTGTTCCTTGCTTAAAATATTTTAGTGATGGGAGGCCTGGGTGGCCCAGTCAGTTAAGCGTTCGACTCTTGGTTTGGACTCAGGTCATGATCTCAGGGTCATGAGATTGAGCCCATGTGGAGCTCTGCACACTGCACAGAGTCTGCTGGAGATTGTCTCTCCCTCTACCCCTCCCCCTGTGTGTTCTCTCTTCCTCTCTCTCTCTAATAAATTAATCTTTAAAAAAATATTTTGGTGATCACCAGATTTAGAATAAAGCCCCACTTTTAGCATAGCATATAAAGATCCTTCAAATTCTAGATCCTCCCTATCACCTAGTCTACCATCACACCAAGATGGCATCCATTCTTCTCTCCAGGCAAGCTGCACTGATTTTGCTTCCTCAAGAGCATAATGCTGTTTCATTTCATGAGAATTTAGCACATGTTCTACCCCATTCGCTTTCCTTCCCTTCTTCATTCAAAACTCAGTTTGAGTATTCTCTGCCTTCGACTCGGGTCATGATCCCAGGGTCTTGGGACCAAGCCCTACATCAGGCTCCCTGCTCAGTGAGGAGCCTGCTTTTCCCTCTCCTTCTGCCTCTCTCTCTCTCTCAAATAAATAAATAAAATCTTTTTAAAAAAATTTTGAAGTACTCCCTATTTGAAGAATTCCATTTGAGCATGTCTACACTCACTTTCACCATGGTTTTATAAATGCCAATAATGCAGTCCTTGGCCATGTTCTTCTCAGATCACAGCCATGTATCTGCAGCCTTGCAGCCTGTTAGAGAGGTAGGACCCATACCCCTCTATACCCAGCTATTTGCAACTGTACCCCCAGTGTCTGTTATAGTGCAGTCTCTACAAAATGATGAATAACTAAAATTTAGACTAGAATAATAGGTATATTTTTCCTTCACCGCAATTTTTTTTGTAGTTTTAGTCTTTGCTGCCATTATACCAGCCATTTCAAGGTTCAGTGACCGAAACTGCCCTGAGTTCTTTTTTTATTTTGTTTTTGTTTTTTATAATTGACTTTTTACCCTGAGTATTAAAAGAGAAAGATGCCAAGATTTTCTCCTCTATGAGAATATTTTTTACATTGTTGTCATTGTACGTTGTGTCCATGACTCCTGAGGACACTCTGCAGTGAGTTCCTAGAATCTCGTCCTTTGTATGTAATGAGCTTTCCCAGGGAGTATTATCACCTACAACTCACCTAACTGGAACTCCCTCCTGGAACGGTGGCTGAGTCATTTCCTCTCTTCAGTTTACTTTTGAAACTTCCTATTTGTTCTATCTTTTCATCAGTCCTGTTCATCGCTCCTCCTCTCTCATTGATTCTCTTAGTTTCCGTATACTGCTGATGATCTTCAAGAGCACCTGTTCACATTAAATATAAATTTAGAAATTTAGAATTTTAGGGTTTTTTTCCCTTTCCTGTTAGCTAATCTTAGACACCTGTGTGCTTATTCTATCTGACCAAAAAGGGATTCGTCATATTTGATGTTAGTATGTTATATCAGTAGAGGTATGTTAAAGAATTCCAGGCTTTTAAATAAGTCAGGAGTAGTTGACACTAAGATGTCTTCTTCCCAGTTATTGCAATACTGATGTACAAAGAGTTTTGACCCTGCCTTTGAGAACTGTATGGCTCCTTGTAATTACTCACCTGAACATCCAGTTTTACACCTTGCTGACTATAAACCCGACATCATTCTAACAAAGAGCTCAAACTGGTTCACAAACACTGATCTAGTCATCTTTTTGCATCATGAGGAAAGGTTGCAACAGGTACAATTATCTCCATGGGGAGATGAGGAAGCTGAGATAAGAGTTCTGGGTCACCCCCTCAGGCCATTAGGAAAATAGGAAGTGGGTCCTACTCATATCAGTGAGTGTATATGTTTATTTGGAAACAAAGCCTCCCTTCACTATTCTTCCTCCTACTATCCTATCCGTGGCTCAATATCACTATCTCTGGTTCATTTGCACTTTTGAAATTATTTTTAGGGGCGCCTGGGTGGCTCAGTTGGTTGAGCGACTGCCTTCGGCTCAGGTCATGATCCTGGAGTCCTGGGATCAAGTCCCACATCGGGCTCTCTGCTCGGCGGGAGTCTGCTTCTCCTCTGACCCTCCCCCTTCTCATGCTCTCTCTCTTAAATAAATAAAATCTTAAAAAAAAAAATGAAATTATTTTTAGGTGATTTGGGGGTGATTTAGTCACTTGGGGAAATTATGTAGTGTTTATGTAGTGTTTACATTTATAAATATAGAGAACAAAGGAGGAAGATCTTTGAGAAGACCTGGCATGTTTTCAAAAACCAAAGGAGCAAACTGTATAATGTAGATAGAACAGAAAAGGAGACAGCCCTGCCCTACAC